GGCTCTTGAAGAGCACTTGCCTTGATGCTTGTAAAATTCCATAAATAAACTACGTTGCATTAAAACTGCAGGATTTAAAGTTTTGGAAAATGTAGTGGCTTATCATCGGGAAAATACAGTACACAATTTCAGAGAATTTTTTAATTTTTTTTTTAGGATGATTTGGGTGGCATACTGTTATACAAGCATGTTAGACACGGGATTTTATGGTATCTATTTTATATCCTTAATACTTACTTGATTTTTGGCAACTTCCTGCCTTACTTTCCTTACTACTGAGCTCAATTTAATAGGCATATTGTGGACCAGAATTTCTCTCATGAATGTTATCATGAATGAATTGTCGCTTCATGTGGACTCATCTCATTTAAGGCTCATGAAAATTACAACCAAATGACATGTACCATAAATGGATTTTAATTATGTTAAAAATTCGATTTGTAGTCTCTTATAAACTTTCATCTTTATTCAAGACCACTCACACCTGTCTGACAGCACATGGTGCTAATCAGTTTGCCCGAGCCATGGGTGTCCCTGAGGTGCCGCAAGAATCCCTCATCACAGAATACTCCCGAATGCGTTGGGAAAAAAACCTGGCACCTGATGCCAACCCTGTGGAGTGCCAAATGTAAGTTATGTCATATAATAACAGTTTTAATCCCTTTAGATTCCAAAAGGAAAAGACGAACATGGTATATTTTCCACTCAACAGGGTTACATGTTTAATATCTGCTGACTATGTTGATTTGTGACATTTGTTTTTATATCTTGCAGAACTTATAAACAGTATTTTTTTACATACAAATACAAAGTTCTACCGAAATGAGATTCAGCAGAAAATACCTCATTCAAATGCGGACTTGATAATTAATCCATCCATCCATTATCGGAAGCGCTTCATCCTCACGAGGGTCAATGAAATCATATATTATCACGCAGTAAAATGTAGAAAGATATACGGTACTTGAGCAATAGCCCTATGCTTGTGTTGAGATCGGTCCCGAGTCTATAGCAGGAGCAGTCAATTGCTGTCGACTGGTAGACCGCAACGGGTGTAGGGAATGGGGGGTGGGGGGGAGTCATATTAATATTGGTATATATTTTGTTTTAGTGTACACACTTGTTTGTGCAGCCTTTCAGTCACATGTTCACAAAATCTGTTCTTAAAAAAAAAAAAAAAAAAAAAAAAGAAAGAAATGGAACTTTCATAAAAATGCACAGCTGAGGTGGCCACCTGGGATTTGGTTGACTGGTCAGCCCGTTTTTATCCATCTCAGGGGGTGGCCATTTTGGCATTTGACAGCAAGTGGCAAAATGGCCGCCCCCTGAGATGTATGAAAACAGGTGGCTTTTGCTGCTTAAATCCATATTCCACAAACACATTAATAATCAGAATGTCATCTTTAGACTAGTGAACATATTATTGTTGAGAAAAATAATTAACTTGACTTTCCCTTTAAGGTAAATATAGCATGTTTTGTTTTGTGTTCTGTTGTATTATGGTTATTTCATGTTAACTGTTCTGTAAAGTGCTTTATTACAGCTGCATCTGTTGTGAAAGTGCTCTACAAATAAAGATGTATTGTGTCGACTGGTTAGGACGTCGGCCTCACGGTGCAGAGGTGCAAGTTTCAATTCTGGCTCCGGCCTTCATATATGGAGTTGGCATGTTCTCCCCGTGCCTGCGTGAGTTTTGTACGGGTGTCGAACCCTGCACCTCTGCACTGTGAGGCCGACGTGCTAACCAGTCGACCAGTATAAACATGTCAATTACGAATAACGTGTATATGAAGAAGAAATTATTTTATAAGACATGAAACAAACACTGTAGTATTCCTACTTCATCTCTGAAAACATTCAGTCAGCAAATGTTACCACCTATAGGCAACTGCAAGTGGTGCCGACGTCTGGGAGACTCCCTTGAAAAAGTGAGAGACAGTTTCAGTCTTCACAGACAGCGAGATTTCTTTCCGTTTATCAGACATGTTTTCAGACGATGTGCTCAGGGCCGTGCCGTGCCTCAGTGAGTTACGGGAGGAAGTGGTGCAACAATTTATGTACTAGGTCAATCAGTAGCGTTGCTCAGCAATGGTAGGGAATCCCACGTTGTACATTTTGTTCATAAGCAAGGTCGTGGCAGTTAGCTTCCCGCGGTTCGTTGTAACGAAGGCCTTTTCACTATTTTGTGGGAAAAATCTGGTCTTTATATTGACGTTTACATTGTCAAGGTGTTTGTTGGAAGCAAAATCACCTCATGGAAAATGAAATACGTGAAATCAGGACTTTGAAATGTGAACATTATAGGGGTGAAAACGTAAATGGGGTATGTTGAAACGAAGTTCGACTTCATACACACACACACAGACATATATATATATATATATGTCTGTGTGTGTGCTGCATATGAAGCAGCCTAAGATATTTTGTTGTGTAGGGGAAAGATGGGCACCGTTGGAGCTGTGGCAGTTGACATCGAAGGCAATGTAGCATGTGCTACTTCGACTGGTGGATTACTGAACAAGATGGAAGGACGTGTGGGTGACACACCCTGCATAGGTTGGTCCTCCAATCAGTCATGAAGTTTATGCAAATCAGATGTAACGGGTGTAACAGGTTTCCTTTCACAAGGTCGTATGAAAATGCTGTGCAAAATGGACCACAATATGTGACTTAAATGTTAAATGAGACTTTATCCGTCTAATTGAATAGTATTCAAGAGAGAAGAACTATGAGTTCTGTAATGTTTATATGTGTGCCAGGATGTGGAGGCTTTGCTGACAATCAGGCGGGAGCCGTGTCAACCACAGGCCATGGAGAGGCCATTATGAAGGTTACTCTGGCTAGACTCATCCTGTTTCACATGGAGCAAGGTACTGACACACACGTGCACATGCACACACACACAACCATATCACTGCATTTATTTTAAAAAGTATACTGTATATATTTTGTCGACATGAAGACTGGTCACTCAATACTGGCTTTTGGAAAACTGTCCAAGATTGTCTGAAATGAAAGCTCAACATTAGGGTGGTCCATTTTGGAAAAGTTTGTCGGATTCATCGGGCCGGGTCGGAAATCTTGTCGATACTATGACACAAGGATGTGTGCAAAATTTTATTCCGATCGGATAATTTTATCCCATCCCGCAGAGCGACCAAAGTTTCCCCTATGGAAAGAATGTTACGGGGCTGAATGGTAGTACGGTTTCTCCCGTACAGTAAGGATTTTGTTTTGCTCAGTTCGCACTTGCAATAATTCAAAGACGGAAGACAGGAACGCATTGCAAAAAAGGCAACCGTGGTTATCCTTCAACACTGGTGAGATTGTTGGTCCATGTTAACTGGTCCATCTGTATATCTGTCCATCTGTCTATAATGTCCATCAACACTAGTGACACTGTTAGACCGCAAAAAAAACGAAATCCGCCGTGC